GGCAGCTCCCAATTGTCCATAATTCCAGTTCTAGAGCCCCTTTCTGCCGTCTTCAGGCATTGCACACGTGTGCATTTCCATCCATGCAGGCAGAACACTGATAAACATATAAAATAAAAATAAATGTTTAAAACATTGTAATTCTATTTAAGTCACCCTCCCCGTGTTCTTCAGAATAACTAATGTATTATCATACAGCTATCACTACTACATATTTATAAAATGAACAGATATTGAATGAAAGAAAGCTAATGCTACCATTTTATATTTTCAGCTCAGTGTCCTTTAACCTGAAATTCTAATGTAAACATACAATCTATTTTAGCCATCAAATAATTTGTTATGGTATATTTCCAATAATTAATAAATCAAAGCACACATGTACTTAAATAAAATAAAACACTTGAGGATCAGTGGAATCCTTAAAGATTACTGTGTTTTTGTAGAAAGAACTGTTCAGTATTCACTGGAGATTGTGAGAATGGTCCCTAGTGTAAAGAACTTCATGTTTGAATCTCTAGAATCTTCAGAGAATTATCCTTGAAGAAAAACAGAAAGAAGAGAGTTTGGCTCTTATATAATCATAACAACTTTGAACTTCTTACTACAGTATGGATTAATTTTTATTTTATTTTATGAGGTGAGATTTGGACTTTTGTGAATGAATCTTGTTTATTGATTTCCCTATATGATTTGGAATATTATATTCTTTGAAATTGTGTTTACAAGCTATTTTTTCAGGGTTGGTGCATGAATATAAGGAAACAGAATCTTTCAGGCCTCTGGGAACTTGCTTACATGAACTTGCAGCAATGGTAACACTATGCACAAGACCCATATAGACTCAATCAGATAAAAACCCAGCATAAAACTGGGGAAATGGGCAGCAGGCCCCAACCCTGACCAAGGAACCATTTGAAAATTATTACTGCTTGGTAAGGAAGAGCTGATCTTCTTTAAGGGAGTGACTCTAGATAGGCTGACTAGACCCCAGTGGATGAACTTGCACCAAGGAACGTATGGGTACAAAATCTTGACTCAATAGACCTTAACATATATGATAGAACACATGAAATCTAGAAGGTGGTTATGGGGAGTGTTGATGGGTAAAGGGGTCTAAATATGATTAAGATGTGTTGTATAAAATGCACAAAAATTCAATAAAAATAGACTTTATTAACAGAAAAAGGCAGATATAATCAAGTAGTTGGTTAGCATGTTTAGCTGAATTAAATTAAGTTCTTTAAGATAAATTTAATCAAATTATTGTGGTAGATAAGCATAATTCAGTTGACCAGAATTCTCCACTTATACAAACGTAATAACAGAAATCTGGATGCTTTTGAACACCATCTAAACAGAACAAAAACATGCTAAAGCATTGTACCACCTATGAAATGCTTTGACAGTCCTATATTAAAACATCTGGTAGAAAGACCTACTTTGTTTATTGTTGAATCCTATAACATCACAAGCACCAAATGCTTTGGATGATGAGTACTCTATAAAGACAAGAATCTTCAGAGGTGAGTTAACCTGGCCTCTGGCTAAGTGAACCTGAAAACACATCGTAACTTATGGGTCAAAATGTATCACCAGTATTCTATGTGGAAATTTCATTATTTAGTTCCAACATACTGTGGTTAGAAAACATTGTTATATAAGGAAAAGATTTTATGAAGTTGAATAAATAAATGTAAATAATAATGTTCCAAATACTATTTATGTATTTCTCATAGTGATTAGATTGATATTTCAAGTGGCTTCATAAGGCAGTGATTTAATTAGTAGTATTTATAATGGTAACATTAGTCAAAATTTTTACCTCAAATTCTTCATTGACCTCTCAAAAATTGTTTCTTAAAGGTCTTATTTAATGGATAGAGTTGTAAACTCTGTAAATAACTAGGGACCATTTTATATATTAACTGTAAGAACTGAAAAATATAACCTATATATCTCCATTTGCAAGGTATTCAACTTCAATTTAACACTACTTAAATTTACTTAATGAACAGTTTATAAAGAAATGAACTGAGTTCCACCTAATTGAGACTCATATCCAGATTTCATTACTTCCTTAGGCTGTCTTAGGTAAGTTATGAATATTTAAAACTTGGTTTTCTCTTCAATAAGTTGGGAATAA